ACTGTTAAGCTATTTCATGCCTCTACAAATAGCTGTTTCTTGTTCAACTGTCTGCAGGTTTTCAGTTGTCTTCTCACTGCTTACTTTGAATAGGCAAGTTGGCTTCGGGTGCCTCTTCTTTCCTGCTGAAAGAAGGGTTAATCTGCTGCAAGCTTCTGCAGATTAACTTCTGCAGCAGCAATCACAGGGATGAATTACAATCCTTATCCCTAAAATTCAAATGGATTTTTTTATAAGTATCTTAATTTTCTTCACTTATTTCAGCTCATCATGACACTGAGGCCAAGATGTAGAAATGTCAAGTGGTGTTAAGTGGTGTTTTTGTGATTCATTGAAGAGACTGTGGAAAGGTTCCCCTTCTAAACTGCCACTTTGAGAGGCTAGTAATTGCTTTTTATTGTTGCAAAGGGCTCTTGCTTTCTTGTCTTAATTGCCTGTGTTTACATTAGTAACTTTTTAAGTTACTTGTAGATTTGAGACCACCTCATTATTAGAAAAATTCTAAGTTTGCTGTGAAAATTTCTGTCTTTCATCTGTTTTATCAAAGTTCTTCCATATAACTTAGCATAAATCAAGAGGTGCTCTTCTGGTTTCTTCTCCTACTGCTCTTCTCCTGCATCCTCATCAAGCAGTAACCTGATCTAGTTTGTGCTGCAGATTCTTAAATAGTGTAATGGAGGGAACAGCAAATGAATGTACATGCAGGTGGGGAGGGCTGCTAATGGACAAGTGGTGGTTTATACTCTTAAACAAAAAGTGAAAACAGAGACAAAGAAATAAGAGTTGTTTAGCCTGTTTGTGCAGACTCACCAAGCACAAGATGTCCTGTTAATATGTGGATCTCAGAGCAATCATTAAGCTCTCCTTGACAGCTATCCTTCTTATAGGGAAACTAAGAATGAGTAGTGTTTTGTTCTGACAGGCAAGGTTCTCAACTAAAGACGTGCCTCTGGCCTTTGTGTGCATTTACCCATAAAGGACTTTGGGACGTTCAGGCAGGCTATGTAATAGTTTCTGCATATGCTAAATTGAACAGTCTCTGTTATCTCTTATTTACAGATGTTTTGAGTGTGCAGAAATTAGCACTGTGCTTTTGTATATGCTTCTAAGGTACTTGACCATTTGATAAAAAGGAGTCCTTCAAATTAACACTCCAATAAAGATAAAAATCACTAAGGAAGAAGCATGAAGAATTGCATCTATTCCAATTATCAGTAACTCTGCACTTAAATTTTCTTTAGGCATTAAAATTTTGTTTTGCTGAGTTGTGCTTTTTAAAGCAAAATTCAGCATCTGTATTGTGCCAGGTCTTACCTTTCAGTGAGCGCTCAAATATATATTTTTTTTTAATTTAACGTGTTTGGCAGCGGTCCCCACAGACAAGAAACAGTTTACCCTTGTTAAAATGCATTAATTACTGTTGTGAGTCAAAGTGGATTGAATAAATCCTCTGGAAAGAGAACAGCTTTGTTACAAGCAGAGAACAAAGTTCTGGTTTAGACCTTTGTGTCTGGAAGAGATAAAGAACAATGTATGCAGCCAGAGGTGGTTCTTGTTCTGCAGTTTGATGTTAGGAAAACAAAATTTCTAGCATTTGCTCATCCAAATGGTGATGTATTGTATTTATTGCATTGTATTTATTGCTTTCCTTGCACTGGAAAACAGGATAGAAGGGCAAACACAAAATAAATACTAAGGCATGTTCTGCAGGATTTGTGGTATGTAAGCCTCTAGGAGAATCTTCAGGAGCACATTTACATCTCTTAGGACTTTACCAAGGGCATTGTGTCACCTGTGACCTTTGAGGCTGGAGACATCTCATGCTCCAGTTTAGGTTGCCTCTGAACAGTGATAACAATTGAAGTAAGCAGATGTGTTTAGTTTCTCCTGTCTAAATTCAGATGTAATCACCTTTATATGATAACACTGTTTAGAAGTACATAATGTAATTGCAGCAGGCATCTATGCAGTGATTTTTTAAATGCAGTGTCTATAACTATAATTAAATTATGTATATAAAACCTATATGAAATGATTTCCCACCCAGCAATGACCAGGATGTGTAAGTATGAATTGAAACAAGTGATAGAAGGACTTTAGTCAGGAGTCTGATGCACTAAACATTTCTCCCTAGCCATCTGTATGATGCTTGTGAGGTGGTAATAGTGGTTGAAAGCTTACCTGTTGTGTCACCTCCTTGGTTCTGTCACAGCACTGCCAGGATCCAGACTGAGCATGCATTTTCAGCTGAGCATGAATAGTTGAGTATATTGCACACCAAAATACCTGCGTTGAAAGGAAAGTTAGTAGGCCACTGTGGCTATTGCTTAGCAAGTCTTCATCTTGCTAGTACCACTATATGTTCTAAAGCTCTCATATAAAAATTTGCTGTTATAATTGGAACTGTTCTATGGCAACCAGAACTAATTGCATAAACCATATGGCTTTTGAACTTCTGATGTCTTTTCTCTTGAAAACAAAAAAAGCCTACTTGCCTCTCTCTGCTAGGCAAACTTTACTCATTACTTGCTTGAACTGCAGCTAATTAGAAACTGGCATTCACTTAATGCCATAAACAGTGTTTAAGAGTGTTTGGGTTTAAAATCTTATCTGTGCTTGATGAGGAAAAAGTAAGTTTATAGAAAGATAGATGGCTGCCATGCACTGCATGTGAGAGAGAACCACTCAGTTTGTTGAACTGAACAACTGTGTCTTTAGTTCTGCTTCCTTTCAACATTATAAAGTGAGCAGATTTACTCAGTCAAAGGTTTAGTGTTATTGTTCTCCTCTTAATCTGAATGTATTGTAAGACAAACTTTTCCATAGTAGGTATAGAACCCTGTTTCCTGAACGAAATGGTTTTATCAGTTGTGAATGCAGTAACTTTAAGCTATTTTAATAACCTGAAGTGTAATACTGTCTCTGAGGCTAATAGTCAAAAACTGAATTAGCTTTTGGGGATTCTTCAGTAGTTCAATATTTTAAAAAATTTTGGGGGGGAGGATGGAAGAAAGCTGCTGGAAACACAGCTCAAATTCTGTGTTAAGCTGCTGGTTTAGTATGGTGTTACAGCTGAAAACGCATTTCAGAAAAGTTTCTCTTTTTTTCTAGAATGTAATTAGCCATATTTAATACTACTTTTAGGTCAGATAGAAGTGTAAATACAATGTAAAAATGCCAGTTTTCCAAACTAGGTGTAAGAGAGCAGTCTCTGCAGCCTTGGAAGCAATAAAATGGTAGAAGAACTGGTAGAGCAAAAACATTTTTGAGACATAATGGTTATTTTAGTCAGAGAACTGACTTGCACACTGATTGCAAGTACTGTATAGAATGCTTCAATTAGGATAAATGCGTTATGCAAGCTGGAAGTACTTCAACTGACAGGTGCTCTTGGCTTTTTTTTGAGACATGCTACAGTCTTTAAGAGGACAGTTAAGTATTCAGTTAGTACACTGAAGTCCTTACAAGAAAGTAAGCTGTTCTATTGAAGTTTTCTAACCATAGGCTGTAGCCTGTGGTTCACAGAAAACAATCTGTGGAGTCACACTGCTTTGCTGAGAGCCATAGAGATCCAAATACATCATCTTGTGCACCTCACTATAGTCTCTGTAGGACAAGAATTTTGGAGACTGCTATTTTAAAGCAGTCTTCTTAATAAGGCTTCTCTGGACTTAAAAGAAGTCAGTTGAGACCTCCAGATTTTATTAATGTAGAAAGCAGTTCATCAGACATATTTACCTATGAACAGTTGAGAGCTTCAGAAGTTGTTAGTGTTAGTTTGGGGTTCAGACCACAAAGAATGGCGTGCAGACTTACACTTGGTGCCAAAGCCTCAGTGTTTTGCATGAAGAGGTGATTGAAGGTCATAATTAACCTAAGTTAGAAATAAAGACCGGACATGAAGTCAGCTAAGCATACGGATTCTGGTGGCATACTGTCTTGAAGAGTGACTTGCACCATTTTAAAACGGGAGAAGTTTTTCTCGCCTCGTTTGTCAGCAGTTCAAGCAAGCGCGCTCCGGCTCTGGGAGTGCAGGTTGCTCACAGAGGCTAGTTGTGGACGCCGCAACACCTTCTGGAACCTAAGCCTTTTTTTTATCGAGTTTAGACTTAGCTCATCTGTCTGTGGGTAGGATCTCTTTACTAACAGCAGTCTCAAGCTCTGGCAGTGGTCAGGAGCCTTTCTGTTTGTTCTGTTGTGGTTGTATTTCACATCTGGACTATCTGTAATAATCTGCAAATGGCCTATTAGCTTTTGTGGTATCCTTCTAGCATTGTTCAGTGTAATTCTAACTGGATTTTCAGTGATGTTTTAGTTAAAACAAAGAACAATATTCTTGGTTACAAAATACTCTCATGAGAAACACTTGCATGTTTTTTCCAGTTATTGCACTTGATAAATCCTTGACTCTACTGCCACTTGTATGTGCAGTGGCACTTTTAAACAGCTGTTGCAAGGAAGCTTAGTGAATACCATCTGCACAAGATTTTCATTTACCTAATTTTTAAAACCCAGGATTTTGAGAATGGAATTAATTCTGACATAGTACTTTGTCATCTTTGTGGGTTTTTTTTCCTGTGGGCTGGGAAAGATGTGTAAAGGGAGCTGTAGTGCATGATCATTTTATGTGCTGATGGAAAATAAACTCACTGTATTTCTTTACTTTCCTCTTCAGTCTTGAAGATTTAAAAAATTGTTTTGTGATATAGTTTCTTTTAGGCATGGTGCGGTACAGAAGGAAGTTGCCATAGTAGGTGCAGGGGTTACTAGACTGCATTATCTTTTAAGTCTTCTTAAAAATAAGCATCTTATTTCCTGTAAGAAAAATAATTTTACAACTGAATTTGTTAAGATTAGATTGGAATTGCCTCAAATCCAATTAAGCCACACTGCATGGACGTGCTGGGAATATAAATGCAAATACTGTAAATTTGTACAAACTGATTTGTTGCATTATCTTGCTAATCTAACATACAGTACTTTTTGTGTCCATATTGCAGACGGCAACTCCAAACTAACATGGCAGTCAGACTGTGTGATGTGGCTTCTCTGCTTAGAAGTGGTTCGTGGGCAGCAGAGCCTTGGACTGGGGTCTGTGGGACTTTTCTTAAATTCTGTAGGCTACTTTTTTACATGTTAATAGTGCTGAGGCCATACCAAAGTCTTTTAACCTTCCATTTGGAATGCTAACTCACATGTATGTTTCATTCTAGGCTGTAGGGTGTGTTCCTCTTCTATGGGAGCCTAGAGCACATTGGCGTAACAAGACAACTTTTACTGTAAAACGCTGATCTCCTGTAGAAATTACACTGCAGTGGCTTGCCTTTCTTCTATTGTCAATTAGATTTTAGTACTAATTGAAAATACACGGTGGATAATTGAAGAGGAGTATTGTACTAAAATGGTTTTGGTATGGTCTGACTACTAAATTGCAGTAACTTTGAAAAACTGTATAGTTGTCTTTTTATGATTACTATTTTAAAATTATATTTGCCAGTCTATTCTAAGATTCTTTTAAACTGTAAATTTATCTCAAACTATTTTTCTGAGTGAAAAATATTTAGTGTTTTGTCTTTTATGAACAGTTCTCTGTAGCCTATTAGTGGAGTATGCATTATTTGTAAAAAATACTAGTATCACTTCATTCAGAGCAGATGGTTCTATAGCTGAGGGATGCTGTAATTTTCAGCACACACAGGCTACTGCAGCTGTTCACTTGAATGTTGGCTTAGAAACCCATACTTGGCCACCTGAACGTGAAAATAAATGTGCAATTAAGAGAGAATTGTTTGTTGTCCTTGCTAAATCCTGCTAATTTTGATCAGTGAACACTTCAAATTTGAGAATAAAACACAAAAAAAGGAAAAAGGCAATCCTACAGAGCCTCAAAGCACAGCATTTGTGACTGCTACCTTTAACAGGTATGCTAGTGTTTTGAAAAGTAACTTATCCTGATTGGGATAATCTACTTTATCATCTTTTCAGTGGACTTGTCTCATCAGTAGCAGAAGCAGATTACTTCTTGGAGTTTGTCTCAAGGGAAGAAAATGTTGTTTAGTTGTAGCTCTTCAGGAAAACAAGATCATGCTTTTCTAATGAGTGTTCTTAATAGGTGTATACCTTTTTTTGCGTTGTGCTGAGGTAACCTCTTGGAAAATGCTTCTGTATGCAAAGCACAGAACATAGAAGTGTGTTCCCAGGAATGTCAAAGTTGGACTTCTAGTAAGAAACTCAACTTATCCCCTCTCGTATTGTTAGGAAATTCAGTTATTCAGCAGTCCCTGAACTCAGCTGACCTTATCAGCTGTTTGGATATGCACTGATTGCCTATGGTGCTTTAAACAGGACTGATAGGACAGACCCATCAGAGGTCCTGATGCTGTTCTGTGATTTTACAAGAGGCTTTTTTGTGAGAGCTCCTCTTACCAGTTTAATTATGAGGCTAAATTTCAGTGATGGATGGATTTCTTTAGTGAACTTCTTGTGTTGAAATATGTATTACTGGAGAATACACGTACATAATTTTCTCTTGAATGTAGTCCTAAACTGTGTGTCTCAAAGAGGGTAGGCTGCCCAAATCTTAGATATTAAGATGCTATTAAAAATCCATTGTATTTACCAGCTATTGCCATTCAGTCACTGACTGAGGGGGCAGAGTGCCTTTTGTAGATGTGGCAGCTTGTGTACAAGCAGACTCCTCCTAATTATGTCTGTTGCATCTTGCAGTCATACAGTCAGTGACTTTGGGGTGAGACACAGTAGAATCAGACTGGTTTGAGTTGAAAGTACCTTGGAGTTTGTCTGTTTCTAATACAATTGCCATGAACAGGGACATCTTCCACTAAATGAAGTTGCTCTAAGCTCCATCCCACCTAACCTTGAACATTTTGAGGGATGGGGCATCCGCAGCCTGTCTGGGCAAGTGCCTTACCACCCTCACAATAAGGAATTTCTTCCTAATATGTAATTGCAACCTACTAGCTTTCAATTTGAAGACATTCCCCTGTGTCCTGTCACTACATGCTACTCAGAAATTTCTCTTTTCCTCTTTCTTGTAAAATCCCTTCCGGTACTAAAAGGCCACAGTTAGGCTACCCCAAAGTAATCTCTTTTCTAGGCTGAACAAGCCTGATTCTCCCAGAATTTTGTCAAAGGAGACATGCTCTCTCCCTCTAATCCAGGCCCTCCTGAGCTCACTCCAGCCGGTCCATGTCCTCCCTGTGCTGGGAGCCCAGAGCTGGCTGCAGGTTCCAGGTGGGCTCTCCCCAGAGCAGAGCAGAGGGGCAGAATCCCCTCCCTGCCCTGCTGCCCACGCTGCTCTGGATGCAGCCCAGGGCACGTTTGGCTCTCTGGGCTGGGAGTGCCCCTGGCTGGGTCATGCCCAGCCTCTCACCCACCAGCACCCCCCAGTCCTGCTCACAGGGCTGCTCTCCATCTGTTCATCCCCCAGCCTGTGCTGATACTGGGAGTGTCCTGACCCAGGTGCAGTACCTTGAACATGGTCTCTCTAAACCTCATGAGATTTCCATGGTCCCACTTTTCAAGCCTGTCCAGGTCCCCCTGGATGATACCCTGAACTTCAGGAGTGTCAGCAACACCACTTACCTTGGGGTCATCAGCAAACTTGCCGAGGTGTGTCTGTGTTATTAGTGAAGACATTGAATATCACTGGTGGTCCCCGTATGGAGTGCCGAGGGACACTGCTTGTCACTGATGTCTGTCGAGACTCAGCTATTGACCACCACCTCTGGATGCAGCTCTCCAATCCCTTTCTTATCCATCTGTTAATCCATCCATAGATACTCTGTCCATTTTAGAGATAAAGATGTTGTATGGGATTGTGTCAAGGGCTTTGAGTAAGTCTAGATTGATAACATCTGTAACCATTCCCTTGTCCGCTGATGGAGTCCCTTCATCACAGAAGGGCCACTTAGTTGGTCAGACAGGACTTGCCCTTGGTGAAGCCGTGTTGGCTGTCTGAGATCGCTTCCTGTTCTGCATCTGCCTTAGCACAGGTTCTAGGAGGATCAGTTCTGTGGTCTCCCAGGCACAGAGTAGTTCTGGAGTGGTCAAAAAGTACATTAAGAACAAGATTCAGATTTAATTGTTCTCAGAGTTCAGGTGAGGAAAGAATAACAAGAAATTGTCAATTTTATGAAATAAAAGCATCTACAGGCCTGATTCCAACCTGTGGTGAGAAGTTTGACATGGATGTTGACCAAGAAGAGTATATTTTCCATCCCAGCACATTCATAAATCATAAATAGCTCTTTAAAATACTAATCTTGATCTCTGCTATTTCATATGAGAAGTAATCTTTGGATACAGTTAATGCCCACCTCTTATTGAAGTTATTCAAATGCTGCTTCATTAAAAACCGCTTTCATGTTACTTCAGTAACCAGCTGTAAGTTAACAGAACTGATTACTCTTGCAACAGGCCCGTTTTGTTTGGTGACTTCTATAATAGAAAGGCTGTGATTCCGCTAAATTGGAGGAATGGCAGAGAATGGAAACTAATCTTTGAATGCTGATTTCATTTAGTGAACTTGTAGAAGATTGTTTGTTACGAGGTTTTAAAGTGTTGTCTTGACTAACAGTTTAATGCCTTCTGTACTGGTGTTTGGTTTTTTTCTTGCATGTAGAGCCAGTATATGGCCTTGGCAGTACCATTTCTGCATAGTGACAGGTCTTTTATGTTCTTGTTTGGACTCTTCTACTAGATACTGAAATTTAAATTTTGATGGCTCTTCTTCTTTGTTCTTTTCAGCAGGTAATTGCTGCCATGGAAACACAACTGTCTAATGGACCAACTTGTAATAACACAGCCCATAGTTCAGCCACCATAAACAATTGCTCATCACCAGTTGATTCTGGGAACACAGAAGACAGCAAGACCAATTTAATAGTCAACTACCTTCCACAAAACATGACACAAGAGGAACTGAAGAGTCTTTTTGGCAGCATTGGGGAGATAGAATCTTGCAAGCTTGTCAGGGACAAAATAACAGGTATGTTGGTTTTGGAGTTTTCTGTATCTTCTCAAACTCTCAGGTGGCATTCTGCAATTCTCTTAAGTAATGGAATAAAGACAGAATGAACCAATGCTGACCAGAAGGAACTTAATTTTTTTTAATTATCTACCCCAAAATTAAGCATAATAATTTGCATTTAATTTAGGTTACTTTGAGTGCTATAAATGCTAACAGGATATTTAAACTTGGGCTTCAGAGTGGTAGGAAAGAAGATTGATATGGGGAAAAGCAGATATTTATACTAAGTTCCCTTGAATTGTAAGTCAACCTCATTGAAGTTAGACTTTAGTGCTTGTTGATGCAAAGCTGCTTCTTTTCAGGGATGCAGGTAATGAAGCTTGTACCTTGGAAAAAGGGCAGATTATCTTACTTCACAGGTTAAGCTGCTTTTGAATTGCAGCACTTGTACAGCATCTTTAGGATGCACACTTGAGTCAATTTATGCTCTTTGGCTTTCTGCTTATTGAGCAGTCTCTGGCTGACTTTGTTGGCTGAGTGTGGTTTATTTCCCTCATGGCTCTGAATAACCAGCAGATCTTCCCACAGCAGATGACTCATTCTTAAGACATCAGGTAGTGGAATGGGTGAATCTTTGAAGCACCCTCCTTCAGCATGATAGTCTGGGATACTGAAATCACTGCTTCTAGTCGATCTAGCCTGACCAAACCTTCAAGCAGTCTTTGCTCCTCAGTGTGAAGATTACTGAATATTCTTGGGATGCCAAAGAAACTAGATGGGGCTGATGCCACAGCTTGCTGTTACCAGGTGAAATCTGGTTGATGGAGAAAACAAGCCTGTTTTCTTTGTAGGTAATGACTTCAGTGCTTTGAAACAAAAGGTCCCTTCCTTAGGTGTTTCCCGACGTCTTGTTCTGGAGTGGAAAGATGTAACTGATAGTTCATCAGTTAGTGGGATCTGTTAGTTAGTGGGATGGCTATTCAGACAGTTTGTCTGTCTTGTATACCCCACATGTTTAGCATGTTTAACCTCCTTATCAAAGCTGCTTAGGAATAACCTCAAAGGCTGCTACTTCTGGCCCCCAGAAATAACCCTCAAGATCTTGTGATCGATGTTCAAATTGTCCACTTCCTTTCATGATGGGTCTGATGTTCTGTGTGCCAGAAGCACACAGTTGTTGCTACGTAGTTCCAAGAGACTTCATACCTGGAAATGGAGCTGGACATAATTGTAAACCTCTTGTTTCAAGGTGTGATGTTTTTTCTATATAGCATGAAGTGATGCCTGAGAAGGATCCTGAATTTAAATTACTTTCTCAGTAGCAGAGAACTCCAGAGTTGAAATTATTGGAGATAGATAGTTTTTCTACTTTATCAGAGAGCGGATCCTCAGCTTTGAGATGCAGTTTCAACTGCCAGCAAAAATGCTGCATCAAGTCTTGTTCCAAAAGGTTTTAGGATTATAAGTGAGATTGAGAAGTACAGTGTCTGACCTTGCGACTGCAGTGGGAGCAATACTTCTGATTTAAGTAGCCTGGAGCAAGATAACTCTGTGTTTGTAGATGCTTAGGAGAAAGCTCTCAACTTTCACTCCTGTTCTTACTCATTTTCAGGTTTTCTTCAGAGAGTTTTGAAAAGCAAATTTTTCTTTTCCTTCTAAATTCAGAACAGGGATTGTTACCAGGTTCTGTGAAATTCATATGGCATGAGTTTCAGATTTTTATTGGTTTAATTCCTCTGTTAAAATGTAATAATTTGTTTTGTCTTTCTTAAATGAAGTGTCAGGAGTGCTAGTTACTTGGTGAGTATCTTCAAATAAGATTAGGGTAGCATAGAAGTTGAAATACACTTTTACAATTATGGTATCACTGAGGTCTATAATGGCTTGTGTCTCCACCATTCTCTGCCTGCTAGTTTGCATAGTGGAGTTTGGTGGGGAAATGTGAGCCAATCCAGTCCTATCCTTGGCTTGGAGTGGTACCATCCTGCAAGCTCAATGTCAAAGAATGCATTTCATTTCATGGCCACTGTCACTGGTGGGCAAGACCAGCAACAGGGAGGAAGTGACCATAGCCCACAGACCACTGGGATGGAGATCAGCTTGTGTGCCCCAAAGGGCATCCAGTGAGGCTGTGTGTGAAGTGTGATCTCTGCAGCTGTGCCCAGTTAGAAACCACAGTCCTGTCCTGGGAGTCAGAGTTACTCCTGCCAGGATCACTGGGTTACCAGTGCCAAGTGTTAAAATACAGAGAGATCATGGCCAGCCACTGTCATCTTGACCCAAATACTCATTAGCATCTAGTGAATTTAAACCAAGTTATCTCCCACCCTGTTGTGAGTACTATTGTTTAGTTCTCACTCTGTGATCACATCACATCACTAAAGTGCACTTGCATTATCTAGAATAGCAGAATGGTTTCAGTTGGGTGGTACCTTCATAAGCACTCCCTGCTAAGGTCAGGCACACCTCCCACTAGAGGTGAAAGTGCCCAATTTCCTTGAAGCTGTCTGCACACTTTAGGATTGAGAGGAGTTGAACTTAAAGGCCTTCTTTTTTTTTTCCTCTGGAAAGTCTGGTTGAGGGAAGGAGGTACCCTGCAGTTCATTTACTAATTTCATGTGAGCAGTTTGAAATCCAAGTCCTGATTATTTTATTGATTTTTAGCTAGGGATTTTCTTGTGAATAAGGGAGAAAGCGATGTGTGAAGGTTCCTGGTAGTCATCTTCCAAGCATGCACTTCATGGGCAGAACTGTCTGTTGGGGTGACGTTAGTAGCTGGAGTCAAGTCTGCTTTCTGTATTGGCAGAAAACCATTTTAAGTATTATCAGTAAGAATTTAAATAGCTGATTGCTGTTCTGTTGATTTGCTGAAGGTAAATAAATTAAACGTTGGTAGCATTGAAGATTCTAAAGGGTGCTGAACAAGCGTCTCTCTTCATGTGAGAATCCCACTGACAGCAGCATCTGATAAGTGGGTCATGAACGTCACTTTATCTTCACTTGCTAACCAGAGAATCTGTCAGGAGTGAGTCATTGTGCCTTAGATATTTTAGAGTCTGTGTTAACTCTTATGTGCTTTTGACTAATGCAGATGTATGTCAATATAAATTGCAAAACTACCGTGTAAGTTAATTGTGCTTGTACAATAGGTGGGAGACCCTGGTCTCAACAGAGCAACGTAACTGGATTCCAGTCAGCCATTTCAGATAGCTGATTAGTTTGGTTTAAATGCTTCTTCATATTTAAAGGCAGCAGAGGTAACATTTACCGTATAATGATGACCTTTTATGTAATCAAACGTTAAGCATGTATGGTTACAAAAAATAAGCTAAAATATTCAAAATGTTAGGGAAGAGGATAAAGTGGGATGAAATTTAATTGCTGGAGCTACCCCTGGTCAAGCACTTTAAAGCTTTCTGCTTGCACAAGATAGATGGATTTAGCAGCTTTTTAAAAAATACAAGAAACAGTAATAGCTTAAAAAGTAGCACTTAAAAAGTAAGATATCATAGTATGGTAAACATTTTCTGGACCTACTTTTCTGAAACTTGAATATAGGTAAAAATGTTACTGTAGTCTCCTTGAAAACAACACAACAACAAAAAAACCTGCATTCTTTTAACTCCCACTGTCTTCAGTACAATTTCAATTGTACATGTGGAAGATTAATGCCCTATTTTCACACAGGGGGATAATCTCCCAGTTTTCATTGTGCTTGTGGCATTATTAGCTAAAGTGAAACTCATGGAACATAGACTCCTTAATTTCAAAAAGCAGCTAACTCAGATGTCTTAAATTTGGGAAAGTATTTGTTTTTTTTGGCTTCCAAGCTCCCATACTGCTCTCTTATTAAAATAATCATATGCTCATAAAATTCACAAGCTTTTTTCTTTAAAAGGGAACCTGCTCATGAATAGGGCTGGATTTCTTGTCTCTTTAACTATGTTTGAATACCTGTAATGCTTATATATGGATTTCATTTGCAGTTTAGCAAATGCTTATTCTGTCTAGAAAGTGAGGCAGGATATGCTTAGAGACCTATCCTGGGACTGTATTTCACAAGACTTGTGTATGAGCTGTGAAACTCTGCTTATACTTTTATCTTTAGTACAAGGAGACAGGTGCTCTGCACTTGAAGACTTCATCAATTGCTTCTGCCTTCTATCATCTCTGCTTGAAGATAAAGAGTAAGTCCACTTTAGGACATACTGCTGATCGCTGTTACATGGCATTTTTTCCACACATGATCCAGCTGCCACTGTGGAGCTTACATGTTGGTTGAAAGTCTGTTCCTCTTACATACCTTTTTAAAAAAAATCTGGGCTCCTGTTTGTCGTGTGGCTGGCAGCTATCTGTCACATTGTGGTGGTGTTTCTTTGTGGTCAAAATTACAGGCTCAGGGAGTACAATTTTCAAGTCATGTTTATGTGACCCCTTTAAAAATTTCATAGGCAATCTAGGCTTTTGCAGTCTAGAATACAATCCAGAGTACTGTAGTCTAGTCTACAGGACTGTGATGGATACTCATGTAGAGTATCCATCTGTCCATGTAGAGGAAGGATCACGTTTCTGTCTCTTACACCTGTTTCCATAAGATTAAAGCTGACAGGATATCTTCCTTAATTTTGTGGATTTGATCTTGTCCTCTTGAAGATAGTAGTTTCTCATATACTTTGAAGTATTCTCTCATTTCCGTGTTGTACAAAGTGAAGACATGAAAAGCAGCACATGATTGAGATGTCTAGAACTGTAGTTCTAGAAAAACTGCCTGAAAGTTGAACACTTCCATAAAATTCTTGAAGCAGCTGTGTTGATATTTTGCAATTGAAGTTTGTACAGAGAGTTTTAGTTCTCACGTGTGTTTTCAGTCTTCATTGAAGTACCATGGTAATAAATGCAAAGGATTCTGAGTTGGTCATGGAAATAAAGAAATACGTAGAGCTGGACATGATGCTGTCAGACAGAGCTTGTGTTCACAGTGGTGACACTGGTCACAATTCAGTGTGGGCCATGTGTAT